GCATCACCAATTCAAATTATTACATTGCCTCTAAAGCTTTCATTAAACTTGAATCGCTAGAGTCAATACCAGAGGAGAGGAGATTGTCTTATCAAGATTTGGCCATCTCAATATTTACCGTTAATCAACCCAAAGAGTCTAAAAATTTAACTCGAAGTGAATGCACTTATTGTGAAACAATGATTGCTGATTGGTCAACAATCTGTCCAAGTTGTAATGTTAAATTTCCCATTTGTGTTGCTAGCGGTAAACCAATTATGGACGCAAATCAACAATGGACTTGTTCAAGATGCAAACATAATTGTTTAAGAGTTGAATTAGTTTCATTCAATAACTGTCCACTCTGTCATCATCCAATTTCATCTTGAAACAATAACCAAAAGGAGCTTGAAATAAATTTTACAGTTATTCTGTCGATCATTCAAGCGGTCATGTTTGAAGATCGAATCAAAATGATCTCATATTCTTAATCAATATCTTTACACATGAATTATTGAATAAATTATGACAATTTAGACTTGGGATTTTAGACATTCAACGTTAGAATATTCATTTTTAGCTTTGATAATTGAAATAATTGTTTGGTGGTAATGAAGTAATTTGTGTGGGTTTATATTTCATTTTTCAAATGATAAAGGATTTAATCAAATCCATCATTTATTATATTACATCTAATTTATATTGTTTCCTACTTTTATTTTATCCTTGCTATTCAATTTTTTGAATTGAATTAAACATTTTCATATTCCTTTTTGATTCTTTCATAAATGGCTTTAGCAGCATAAAAATTGGGATAAATAGATAAAGCTTTCTTGACACTTTGATAAGATAGATCATAATGTCCGGTTTTTTCACCAATTAATGATAAATTATAATGAGGTTCATAGATTGGACAGCCATTTGTTTCTGATGCTGTGGCTGAAGCTTGGAAAAAGGCCTTTGCTTGATGTAAATTGTGTGTTGTTGGGTTAGTTTTGGTCATTTCAAGAACACCTAAATTATTGTAAGCTTCAGGATGAGTATTATCAGCAACAAGAGCTAATCTAAAAGCTTGACTGGCTAACTGTTTGTCACCAGATCCGATTGCAATCATTCCGATATTGTACCAAATATCAGCGACCAAATCATCTTCTTGAGCTGCATTTAAAGCCTTTTCAAAACAAGTAATTGCCATGTCAAATTGTTGTGAATAGTAACAGCATAATCCTAAATTGTTATAGATTTGAGCATTCTTTGTTCCCATTTGAAGCAAGTGTCGATAATATCGCAATCCAATTTCTGGTTGGTCACAATAAAAGTGATGCATGGCAATACAAGCAATGGCCTCAACATTGGTCGCCTCGTAGGATAAAATTTCTTTATAAATTGTTACTGATTCTTCCAATTGGGATAAAGCTTCATGGACTCGAGCACAATAAGCGAGAAGAAACGTTTCACTGGGAAATTTGGTTAAACCAGTTTTGTAAATGTTTAATGCAGCTAAAGGTTGATCTAGACGAAGATACACTTTACCCAGCCAAAGGTAAACGTCAACAGTTGATTCATTGTGTTTCGAGGCTGATCTGAACTGAGTTTCAGCGTCGCGTAATAAACCCATTTTATAATAACATTTTCCTAGTCCTAGCTTCCAATACCAATCATTAAATGTTGAGTGTTGAGACCCTTGAGCTGCTAAATCTAGAGCATGGCGAACATCACCTTCCTTATAGAGTATATATTCAAACAGAGATTTTGATAATACCGGTAAAGTTGCATATTTAGCTATATTGAGACGAGCTAAGTTTATGAAAGGACCGTCATCATAGCTTCCTGAAGATCCTGATAACATTGAGGCAGTTCCTAATCGCACAAATCGGCCTGATGCTGAAGTCATTGGTCGAGCTGTTCTTGAAGTTCTTGGAGTCTTCAATGTATTCTCCATACTACCAATTTTTGATGCACTACTTTGAGTTCCCGGTCTAAGCATTCCAGTTATCGGGCGACCTGATTGAGTAATAGGTCTGTTACCAGTAAATGGAGTTGAAGATGTGATTAATGGATTGTTTGAGGAACCATTTGGGGAATCTCTTCCAATTGATTGGTTTGCTGACGGTACTCGGAGTGATGTTCCAGGTCTCGGTACAGAGGAAATTGCATTATCGTCCATGAGTAGCTCAGCAATTCCTTCTTCATCAGCCTCAACATCGTCAACAAAAACTTGACTTGTTAAAGATCGCATTTTTAATAACCAAAAGGCCTAGTAAAAATGATTCAAAACGGTTTATACTTCATATAATTTATCGATTCGATTTAAAGCAAAAGTGACTTACCTGATCTAAAGGCGTTTTTTCCAATTCCTGGGTACAAATTTTGATACATTCATCAAATTTTCGTCTTCGATGCAAAGATAAGGCCAAATATAAAGGATCCATTTTCACAGACAACTGAAATTGAAATAATTTTGTCCAATCCGTTTAACTTTATGCAACCAAGGAAACTGGTTCAACTCCAACTCACCAAAACAAACCAAACCAAAAATGGTTAAAACCAAAAATTGTCATAATGATGAATGAAAAACACCGAAACCATAATTAAGATTGTATATAAACGCACACATTATGGATTCGGGACTTTTTATAGTTATGGCGTTTCCAGCATCAAAATAACTTCTGTTTTTTTTCTCACAAGATTCAATTTTTGAGCAATTCTTAAGCACTTCCATGTAGATATCTCTTTCAATGTTAATCGTCTAAAACGTGGCAATTAACTGATTAAATAAAGAAATCTTTAGAAATTTCAATTCAAATTAACTTGTCAAAGTTAACAATTCTCATAAGTTTCATAGTTTGAACTCAAAATCCTGATAAATACAGTCGCATTATCATAATTCAGATGAATTTTCCCAATAATTTTATACTTAGCTTTAGACTATCAACAATTGAGACTATCAACAATCTCTTCCTGTTATTGGATGAAGTAAATTCTGTTGTCAAAGGTTCAAAATTGACAAGTAGTCGCTATATTTGATAGATAGGTAAACGATTTGATCATCAGATTAGCTAGGTGAGCTATTAAAACAAAACATCTCTATGATAGTGTTACTATTATTCATTAAAATCCAACTACAATTGTGAGATATGAAAAAACAATAAAGCTTACAATTAGATCAAAGTAGTGACAAAAAAAACGGGAAAATACGTTTAAATACAATGCATTATACTTTTTCAATCAACAGAGTTCTGGTTAAATGTAACAGACTCAAACTTGATTATCACAATTTTGTTAATTTATTTTTTGGCTGGCAAACTTTTTGTTAACTTTTAATCTAATCGGTTGCTTTCAGTAATTTATCTTTCCAAAGATTATTTAGACCAAACAATATAAATAAGCTCTTCAATTAAATCCATCATCTTACCAAAATGAATCTTCACTTTTTGTTTATAATTTTTTGTGTCTCTTGTGTTCAATCATCACTCTATCCAAAGGATAGTTTGACTCGGTTCACTCGCACATTAGATGGAATCTGGAACTTCAGGATATCTCCAATTGACGACCAAAATGTAGGGTTCAAAGAGAAATGGTTTGCTTCTCCATTATCACAGGTTAGTGCTCGTATTTATGTATTTATCCAGTGCTTTGAAATTAAATCCAATGAGTTTTTCAACACAAAGTGTTTCTAACAAGAAAACTTAATCTTAAAAAAGGTCTTCTCTCCTGTTTTAAATTCAATGAAGTCTATTTGATGAAGAGATTTTCAATTTTATCTCCCAATAGACTGGATCTGTGATACCAATGCCAGTGCCTTCAAGTTTCAATGACATTACTCAAGAAAAATCAATTCGTGACTTCATTGGTTGGGCTTGGTATGACACTGAATTTTATGTTGATCCATCGTGGTTAAACTCTAATCGTCAAGTTATACTGAGATTTTCATCAGTAAATTACGCAGCAAAAGTCTATGTTAATGGAGTCAATGTAACTGAACACATTGGTGGACACCTTCCATTTGAGGTGTTGGTCAAAGAAAATTTGATCTCTACTGGTGTTAATAGATTAACTGTGGCTGTTAATAACACACTTGATGAACACACAGTTCCACCTGGACAATTGGTTTGGAAAAATGGGACTGATTATCCGAAAAATTTTTACGTTTTTACACCCAATTTTGATTTCTTCAACTATGCTGGTATCCATAGAAGTGTTCATCTTTATTCAGTTCCCTCTACATTCATCAAAAAGGTTAAACTTGCCACTGACTTGATGTATGAAAACTCTTCTGGTGTCATTAATTATGCATTAAGTGTTAATCTTGATGAATCTGCTTCACAAAGTGATTATAAAGTAGATTTAGTAATCAAAGACGCTGAAGACAAGGTGATAGCACTTTATGTTGGCGATTACTCTGGAAGTGTTACTATTCCTGAAGTAAATGCATGGTGGCCTTACTTAATGAACCCGAAACCAGCTTATCTTTATAAAGTTGTGTTTGAAATAAGCAAAGATTCACAATTAGTAGATCAATATGAATTTAAAATTGGATTCAGAAAGTTGAAATCACCGAGAAACATTCCTTGATCAATGGGAAACCATTTT